TGTGTTGGCTCATGCCTGTAATCCCAGAACTTGGGAGGCTAAGGCAGGCAGATCACCTGAGGTCAGGAGTTTGAGAGCAGCCTGACCAACATGGTGAAACCCCATTGTACTAAAAATTAAAAAATTAGCCAGGTGTGGTGGTGGACACCTGTAATTCCAGTTACTTGAGAGGCTGAATCATGAAAATCACTTTAACCCAGGAGAGGGAGGCAGTGAGCCAAGACACGCACCAGTGCACTCCAGTTGGGTGACAACAGTGAGACTCCAACTCAAAAAAAAAAAAAGAAAGAAGAAAAAGAGTTGACAATGTTGAAATATCTTAGAAACTAGAGCAAATATAGAAAGAGATGCAAGAGTGAAAAAAAACCCATAAAGGATCAGTTCAGGACACCCTCTATCCAAGTAATAGGATTCCCAGAAAGAACAGAAAAATACTGGAGGATAATCATCAAATAAATAATTAAAGAAAATCTCCCAGAACTGAAGGACATAAGCTTCCAGATTGAAAAGGCCCATCAAGTGGCTAACTCAGTGGATGAAAGTAAGTCACACCATGGCAAATTGCAGTGAAAACAGAACACTGGGAACAGAGAAGATCCTAAAAACTTCTGGGAAAAGGGTCATGTACAAAGGATCAGAAATTGGAATGGCATTAGATTTTTTTTTTTTGAGATGGAGTTTTGCTCTTGTTGCCCAGGCTGGAGTACAATAGCATGATCTTGGCTCACTGCAACCTCCACCTCCTGGGTTCAAGCGATTCTCCTGTCTCAGCCTCCTGTGTAGCTGGGATTACAGGCATCTGTCACCACGCCTGGCTAATTTTGTATTTTTTACCAGAGACAGGGTTTCTCCATGTTGGTCAGGCTGGTCTCGAACTCCCGACCTCAGGTGATCTGCCTGCCTCAGCCTCCCAAAGTGCTGGAATTACAGGCGTGAGCCACTGCACCCAGCCATGGCATTAGATTTTTAAAGGCTAACACTGAAAATTAAAAAAGGAGGCTGGGTGCGAGGTGGGCAGATCCCTTGAGCTCAGGAGTTTGAGACCATCCTGGGCAACATAGTAAGACCCTCATCTACCAAAAAATTTTAAAAATTAGCCAGGTGTAGTGGTAGAGGCCTGTAGTCCCAATTACTCAGGAGGATGAGGCAGGAGAATCTCTTGAGCCCAGGGGATCAAGATTGTAGTGAGCCATGATTGTGCCACTGCACTCCAGCCTGGGCTATAGAGTGAGACCCTGTCTCAGAAAATAAAAGACAATGAAACAGTGCCTTAACTTCTGAGGAAGAATTATTTTCAACCTGGAATTCTATATTCAGCCAAACTATCAATAGTGTTAGGAAAGATTAATAACTTTTTAAAAATAATTTCAACTTTTATTTTATCTTGAGAGCAATCTCATTCTGTCACCCAGGCTGGAGTACAGTGGCACCATCATGGCTCACTGCAGCCTTGATCTCCCAGGCTCAAGCAGTCCTCTCACCTCAGCCTCCCAAGTAGCTGGTCTACAGGCACATACCACCACACCTGACTAATTTTTAAATTTTTTATAGAGACAGGGTCTCACCCTGTTACCTAGGCTGGCCTCAAACTCCTGTATTCAAGTGATCCTCCTGTCTTGGCCACCCCAAGTGCTGGAATTACAGGCAAGAGCCACCATGCCCAGCCCAACTTTTATTTTAGATTCAGAGTGGGGTACATGTGCAGGTTTGTTACATGGGTATATCACATGATGCTGAGATTTAGGGTACGGTTGAACCCATCACCCAGGAAGTGAGCATAGTACCTAGCAATTTTTTTTTCAATCCTTGCCCCCACCTCCCTCCTTCGTCTAATAGTCCCTAGTGTCTATTGTTGCCATCTTTATGTTCATGTACCCAATGTTTAGCTCCCATTTATAGTTAGAACGTGCAGTATTTGGTTTTCTGCTCCTGCATCAGTTCACTTATGATCATAGCCTCCAGTTGCATACATGTTGCTGCAAGGGACACGATTTCATTCTTTCTTATGGATGTGTAATAACATTTTAAAAAATGCAAAGCTTCAATAAATTTACCTCTTATGCCAACTTTCTCAGGACACTACTAGAGGGAGAGAACCATTCACCCAAAGGAAGGAGTAAATCGAGAAAAAAGATAAGGACTCTAAGAAACAAGGGATCCAGCTAAGGAAAGAGGCAACGGAATTCCCAAGATGATAATGAAGGGAGATCCCTGGAGAGCAATTGTGCAGCAAGAACAGATAGACTTAAGAGATGCCACTCAGAAGATGGAATAGATAGGACATGGGATGAGTTCGAAAGCCTGGAGAGGGAAATTCAGACAATTGAGGGAGTGTTTGAAGTTGACTTGCTGATAACTACACAGCAAAGTAGTAATACAATAATAATAATTCTAAGGATAAAAAGTTGTAAGAAATAAAAAGTAACTATAATAAACCCTGATTAATTTTATTACCTATTTTGAGGATAGAAGATGGGAAGGGTATCTGTGTGGCTGGGGAGTGGGAGTGGGAGTGGGACGAAAGTTAAATCCTGGTTAGGTGCGATGGCTCATGCCTATAATCCCAGCAGTTTAGGAGGCCAAAGTGGGCAGAGTTCAGGAGGTCAGGAGTTCAAGACCAGCCTGGCTAACATGGTGAACCCCTGTCTCTACTAAAAATACAAAAATTAGCCAGGCATGGTTATGGGTACCTGTGGTCCCAGGTACTCGGGAGGCTGAAGCACGATAATTGATTGAAGGCAGTGGTTGCGGTGAGCCAAGATCACACCACTACACTCTAGGCTGGGCGATAGAGCGAGACTCCATCTAAAAAAAAAAAAATGCCAGGTGCGGTGGCTCATGCCTGTAATCCCAGCACTTTGGGAGGCTGGGATGGGTGGATCACCTGAGGTCAAGAGTTTGAGACCAGCCTGGCCAACGTGGCAAAACCCTGTGTCTACTGAAAATGCAAAAGTTCACCAGGTGTGGTGGCGGACGCCTGTAATCCCAGCTATTCGGGAGTCTGGGACAGGAGAATCACTTGAACCTGGGAGGTGGAGGTTGCAGTGAGCCGAGACTGCACCACTGCACTACAGCCTGGTGACAGAGCGAGATTCTGTCACACACAAAAAATAATAAAAATTAGCCAGGTGTGGTAGCGCATGCCTGTAATCCCAGCTACTTGGGAGGCTAAGGCAGAATTGCTCGAACTCAGGAGGCGGAGGTTGCAATGAGCTGAGATCGCACCACTGCACTTTTGAGACTCTGTCTCAAAAAAAAAAAGCAATATAAGCATGTTATTTGGAGATTAGGAGGTAAATACCAAAATAAATAGCTAAATAAATAATAATAGTTGTTTCTGGGATGTAGAACCAGGATGGGAGAACCGTTCATGTTCGTGATCTTGTGGAACTGTTTGCTTCTTTAATCTCTGTGCTTCTGCTACTTTGATTGGAAGTGAAACTGGGCTGGGCGTGGTGGCTCACACCTATAATCCTAGCACTTTGGGAGGCCATGGTAGAAGAATGGCTTTGAGCCTAGGAGTTTTGAGACCAACCTGGGCAACAAGGTGAGACCTTGTCTCTGCAAAAAATAAAATTAGCTAGATGTGGTGGTGCACACCTGTGGTCTCAGCTCCTTGGGAGGCTGAGGTGGGAGAATTGCTTGAGACCAGGAGATGGAGGCTGTATGAGCCATGATTGTGCCACTGGACTCCAGCCTGAGTGATGGAGAGAGACCTTGTCTCAAAAAATAATAATAAAATACAAGTAAAACTAAATAAAACTAATGTTAAAGTCATTTGTGGCAGGGCCTTGGGTTCACAGGGCAAAATGCTAGAGGTGAAGCTATAGTGATGGGTGAGAGCCACATGTTACAGGATTTTGAATGCCAGCTGCTAAAATGTTTATTTTTCATTCTCTAAGAGCAGGGCAGAGTTCCCTGCTATTGTAGATGTTAAGATTCAGCACTCTGTAAGAGCTGTGCAAAGCCCATGAAGGCTCTTGAGCAGGGAGAGACAGGTTCAGACTTGTGCTTAGGGAAGGTAACAGTGTATCTAAGCTGGAAGGGACCCTTGAGATTACCCTGTAAGTCAAATTGGAGGCTGGTGTGTACAGGGGAGAAGCCCTGAGTGCCCAGCCAGTGGGATTCTGACCCTTCTAAGCTCTGGTCAACCCTTTTCTCCCTCAGTGGCTGCTACGAATGAGCTGAAGGGACTAAGGAACCAGGTTAACTCTTTATTCCCCAGCTCCTGCTCCTTTTGGCCCATTCTGCTTCCTGATTAACACCCTCTCTGGCTATTGTTTGTTTCTGTGTATTTCTGGTGAATCTGGCCAGGTTCAATAGTCAGTACCCTGTGGCCGGGCACGGTGGCTCATGCCTGTAATCCCAGCACTTTGGGAGGCCAAGGCGGGCAGCCAAGAGTTCAAGACCAGCCTGGCCAACATGGTGAAACCCCGTCTCTACTAAAAATACAAAATTAGCTGGGTGTGGTGGCACATGCCTGCAATCCCAGCTAATTGGGAGGCTGAGGCAGGAGAATTGCCTGAACCCGGGAGGTGGAGGTTGCAATGAGCCAAGATCACATCACTGCACTCCAGCCTGGGCAACAAGGGCAAAACTCCCTGTCAAAAAAAAAGGTACCCTAAATATGAAGTTCAAAGCTTAGTAAGATTGGATTTTAATACTTAGCATTTACTGAGACCTTCGTCTGTGCTAGACACTGTGCTGACTACTTAATAGACAGCATTTCAGAATCCTCACAGCTACCCTGTGAGGTAAGTGATTTAGTCCTGTTTTGCAAATAAAGAGACTGAGGGTCAAAGAATATATGGCTAATCAGTGGTAGAGCTGAAATCTGAGGCTGCAGTCCATCTGCTTCTGAAGCCCATACTGCAAGCCATTATAATTCCATCATCTTCAAGTGGAACATGGTTGGCTGGGCTACAAGGTAGGGGCCTATGGAAACGCTGGGGAAACCCACACCCCAGAACTGGGACTAATTCCTTCTCCCACTCTCCCAGGCTTACCTGCGAGCCATCGATGTGAAGATCCTGCAGCAGCTGGTGACCTTGAATGAGGGCATCGAGGCAGTGCGCTGGCTGTTGGAAGAGCGGGGGACGTTGACCAGTCATTGCAGCAGCCTCACCAGCAGTCAATATAGCCTGACAGGCGGGAGCCCAGGCCGCTCAAGGAGAGGCAGCTGGGACAGCCTGCCAGACACCAGCACCACCGACCGGCTGGACAGTGTCTCTATTGGCAGCTTCCTGGACACAGTGGCCCCTGGCGAGCTGGATGAACAGGGCCCACCTGGGGCTCCACGTCCTGAGATGGACTGGGCAAAAATTATAGCTGGTGGAGAGAGGGCCAGGACTGAGGTAGATGTGACAGCCATGAGGCTAGGGAGTTTGAGGGCTGTGTGGAAGCCCCCAGGGGAGAGGCTTCAAGGTGGACCACCTGAGTCACCAGAGGATGACAGTGCCAAGCTGGGCTTCGAGGCCCACTGGTTCTGGGAGCAGTGCCAGGATGATGTGACCTTCTTGTAACAACTTTTCCACCCTTTTGTAATCCTCTTTTATCTGTTATTTGTGGTCTCCCTCAAAATTGATTCTCCCTCAGTCTGAGACTAGGAAGAGGCTGCACTGAAATCAGTTGCTATGGAAACCTGGCTCATCATTTACTGGTACCTAGGGAGGCTCTTCCTTTATCCCTCAATTATTGGGTCCCTAGAGCTCTTTCTTTCTTTCTTTTTTTTTTTTTTTTTTTGAGACAGTCTTATGCTGTCACTCAAGCTGGAGAGCAGCAGCATGATCATGGCTCACTGTAGCCTTGACCTCCTGGGCTCAAGCAATCCTCCCACCTCAGCCTCCCACATAGTTAGGACCACAGACATGTACCACCCTGCCCAGCTAATTTTTAATTTTTTTTTTTTTGGTAGAGACAGGGTTTCCCTATGTTACCCAGGCTGGTCTCAAACTCCTGGGCTCAAGGGGTTCTCCCACCTCAGCCTCGCAAAGTGCTAGGATTGTGCCTGGCCCCTAGAGATATTTCTGTAGAGATACTGACTCTAGAGGATTGACCTGTGGCTTCTGGTGTGAAGTATCTCTTACTATTCCCCGAAGCTAGGCAAGGATTTAAGGCATTTAGGACCCCCAGGAGTTCACTGATGAAGAGATGGGGGTGTAATTACTTTACCCAAAGTCTAGAAGCCTTGGCCCCTCTCTTGGCCAAGATGGAAGATTGAGGAGGGACATGGACATTCAGGACTAACCCTCTATGGGTTGGCCCTCCCAGAAGGCTCTGGGCTGGTGGACTTGCCCCTTCCTACCTGCTAAGTGATGTCCTTTCCTGCCAGTATGGGTAGCTCTTGGATGGTGGTAGGTCATATAGGGGTATCTGAGCCCCTGCTGCTAAGTGATCACATTATTTATTATCCATACCATTACTTCTAGTGAACATGAAGATGTCACTCCTCCTAGCAGGAAAGCCTTTCACTGTCAGATGTTTGTGCTTCTTTTCAGAAGGTTCTTACTTTTTAAATAGAGCGTTCTCATTTTATCCTAGGGAATCTCACTTCCTCTGTGGCTCCATCCCTGTATCCCTGTCTGGGCCAGCACTCCTGACTCTGTTTTTAGGGAGAGAAGCTTTCAGGGGTCTCCACTTATTGCTCTCAAATCTGTGTGGTCCGCCCCACCACAGTCCCTTGTCTTACCCTGTTCCTGTGTTGCCTCCATTCCTGTATTCTGTTTTTTGTTTTGTTGTTTCTTTGAGACAAGCTCTCACTTTGTCATCCAGGCTGGAATGCAGTGGTGCTCATTGCAGGCTCAATCTCCTGGACTCAAGTGATCCTCCCTCCTCAGCCTCCGGAGGAGCTAAAACTAGAGGCATGCATCACCATGCCTAGTTAAGTTTTGTGGTTTTTTCCAGAGACAGCATTTTGCCATGTTTCCTAGGGTAGACTTGAACTCCTGGACTCCAGCTGTCCTTCTGCTTCAGCCTCTCAAAGTGCTGAGATTACAGGCAGGAGTCACTGTGTCTGGCCCTATTCCTGTATTCTGACTCCATATCTCCCTGCCAAGAAGTTCAGCTTCTGTGTGTCCTTGCCTTCTCAGTTTCTCCAGGCCTTTTATATGCAGGTGAGTCCTGGCCTCCCCTGCCTTTGTTGATGGGAGCCAGGGAGAGAGAAGCTCAAGGTCTCAGAGCTCTGGGGGTGTACCAGAATCTTGGATGGGGGAGGTGTAATCCTCTCTGACTTTGTGACTGCCCTTCCCCCACCCTGTCCCCAGCCTTCCACCATTTGGTCACAAGGATGCCTGCCTGAGGTCGGGACACAAGGAATCGCCTTGTCTGGGCTACAGTGTGGGGGCGTGGCAGGGAAAGACAGAAGCTCTTTGGTCCCCCTGCCCCATCCTGGAAGGTGAGAGGGAGCAAGGGAAAGGCTTGTTTACTTCCTCCCTTAGAGCAAGCCCTGACGGACTCCTGGAACCTGAGGAGGGAGCAGGGAACTGGCCCTGAGCCTGGGTCCCAGAGCTCTACTGAATTACAGATTACATCATAGAAGGAATTCAGGAAAGCTGCCAACCTGGGGCTCAGAGAGAGGACAGTCCCGGAGTTGGGGGACAAGAGCTGTGGCTGGTGTCAGAGAATGAATTTGTAGAGATTAATCCTCTGAATTCTGGGTAACTGCTCCATCTGTTAGTCCCTGCCTTTCCTGGGCCTTGAAACTGGAATGCTAGAGGAAAAAGAAGGTCAGATGACTTTGGCTGTTCACTGTGTCCTGCAAAAAAGGCATCCTCCTCAAATCCTGGAATAACTCCTGCCACTTCTCTATTTTGTATTCTGTGTTGGGGAAGGGAAGGAAGCCACACTGATCATCTCTGTTTCCCTAAATTCCACAAGTCTCATTTTGAAACTCCTACCCCAGTCCTTCTGGAGCAATATTCAGTCCATGGCTCATCCCTAAACACCCTCTCTTCTCCTCTCACCCCCTCAAATGACTGAAATCTCCAAAGTATATTTTCGGCCTTTTCCACTGCTCACAAGACCTCTCCATAGAACTCCTTGGGACTCCTGACTTCCCCTCAGACTGAGAATTTGAATCTCCTATTCTAGTCCTTACTCTGTTGCCATTTTGCAGTGCGCCCTCGGTTATCTACCCTTCCTGTTTTTTGTTTGTTTTTTGAGATGGAGTCTCGCTCTGTCATCCCAGCTGGAGTGCAGTGATGTGATCTTGGCTCACTGCAACCTCTGCCTTCCGGGTTCAAGTGATTCTCCTGCCTTAGCCTCCCAAGTGGCTGGATTACAGATGTGCACCACCACCATGGCCAGCTAATTTTTGTATTTTTAGTAGAGACAAGGTTTCAACATGTTGACCAAGTTGGTCTTGAACTCCTGACCTCAAGTGATCCACCCGTCTCAGCCTTCCAAAGTGCTGGGATTACAGATGTGAGCCACTGTGCCCAGCTTGTTGTTTTTCTAAGACAGGGTCTCACTCCGTTGCCCATCCTGGAGTGCAGTGGTACAGTCTCGGCTCACTGCAGCGGCTGCCCCCTGGGCTGAAGTGATCCTCCTCAGCCTCCTAAGTAACTGCAACTACAGGCACATGTCACCATGCCCGGGTTACTTTTTGTATTTTTTCTAGAGACATGGTTTTGTCATGTTGCCCAGGCTGGTCTCGAACTCCTGGGCTCAATCCTCCCACTTCAGCATCCCAAAGGGCTGGGATTACAGGCCTTAGCCACCATTCCTGGCCTTTCTTTTTTTTTTTCTCTTTAGCAACATTGTTCTGGAGTCATACCCTTCTTCTTAGAAGCCATTGTACAGTATTCCTATTTGAAGTTCACTTGTTCAGGCTGCAGACTTGTGAGCTGAAGAGGTTGCCCGCCCTCTTGTGGCCATTATGCACGACTGCTGGGGTTGCTGGGTGGAACCTCCAACCAAGCTCAAAACCAGCTCCCTCAGTGCACAGAAAGGCAAATGAGTCATAGACTCGCCCAGCGCCACCCATTGTAAAGCTGTGGCAACGCCCAGGTCAGAAAACCCAGATCACAAGCCTGCATGCCCACAGCTTCATCACTTGGCCAGCTATTTCCAGTCAACACCGCTGAAGCCCAAAGGGACTGAAAGAAATTTCTCCCGTTATGTTTCATTCTCACCCCTTCCTAAAGAAGCAGCTTAATCTTTAGAGGAAGAGGTGCAGGCTCTGAAGAAAGAAAACCCTGAGACTGGATTGGGTGAAGGGGGAAGAATGCACTAATGTGGATCACAGATAGGAGGAAAATCAATCCTGAACCCACCATTTTTCTGGGAAGGAGGGCTAGTAGCTCCAGACATCGTAGGAATAGAGCTCAGCGTTTCAGACTTTAAGGGTTAGAAGCAGAGGTGGGAGTGGGAACCTGTGAAATTAGGAAATTTACATGGGTCTTGCAGAAGCAGGTGTGGCTCCACAGGTAGGGAATTAAAGGTCAATTGGATAGGCACCTGAAAGTGTTGTGGGCTGGAAAGCTGGGGTAAGTGAGGGTGCCTGGGAATTCCACTTAGGTCTAGGCATCCTGGCTGAATACTTTAGATTTCAGTTCACCACCAGAGAAGCCTGGGAAATCCAGTATCTTTGGTCTCTTCTACCTGTCTCTAGATTGGCTGGTTGAGGCTCAGCTTCTCTCTAGACTTTTCTGGCTTATAGGGTGCAGCTCCTTGAGAGCTCAAAGAAAGAGAAGGTAAGAAAAGGGAGAGAAATGCAGACAGAGGAGAGGATGAGATGAAAACAAGGTGTGGAAAATATCAGAGGGAGTATACTGCCCTCAAGTGCAGTAGTGGCTTTTGTCCGGGACCAGAGTAAAGACAAAAATGAGACTGCTCACGGAAGCTGCAGAAACCGCGCCTGGGGAGATAAGGGGGGAGGTGCAGGCTGGGACATGAGACCATGGGAGTGGGCAATATAAAGGCCTGCCCACTTTATATAATAAATAAATAAGTAAATAAATTTATTTGAGACTCATAACAGAGTGAGGGTGTCACTCTGTTGCCCGGACTGGAGCACAGTGGCACGATCTTGGCTCACTGCAACCTCTACCTCCCAGGCTCAGGCGATTCTCCTGCTTCAGCCTCCTGAGTAGCTGGGACTCCAGGCGCACGCCACTACCATCTGGCTAATTTTTGTACTTTTAGTAGAGATGGGGTTTCACCATGTAGGCCAGGCTGGTCTCAAACTCCTGACCTCAAGTGATCCACTTGATAGGTCACCCAAAGTGCTGGGATTGCGGGCTTGAGCCACCACGCCTGGCCAAGGCCTGCATTTAGGATGAGGGCACTGAGGTTGAGTACTGAGCCAACTAGAAGCTCAGTGGCAGCTTCAGTGAGAAACGCCTGGGGGTTGTAGCAGACACAAGCTCATTGTGTGTATGGTGTCAGGCACACACTGGGTGTTCAGTGACACCTGTTCAATGAATGGAAGGATGAATATGTATTAGCCCACAAGGAGATGTGACTGGAAGAAAAGTTGGTCATTTATAAATTAAATGTGTTTAAATTTACTTTTTAGCAATCCTATAAACTACATTGTTAACAATATAGTCTTGCTTAGAAATATGCTCAAGGTTAGTTCAGTAACAAATGAGCTGTGATAACCTAGATCAACCTGACTGCAGGGGCTTCTAGGAAGTCTTCTCTGATTCCCTCCCAGGCCCTACACTCACATAGACTTTATTCTTCTAGGGCAACAGATTCGTGCTGCCCGGAAACTGGGGCACTACATTAGTTTCCTATTGTCACTGTAATGATTTACCACCAAGTGGCTTAAAAAACAAAATTATTACGTTACAGTTGTGAAGTCCAAAATCAGTTTCACCAGGCTAAAGTCAAAGCATCAACAGGCCTACATTCCTTCTGGGGGCTCCAGGGGAGAATGTTTCCTTGCTTTCTCTAGCTTCTAGGTGCTGCTTGCAGTGCTTGATTTGTGGCTCTTTTCACCATCTTCAAAGCCAGCAGCAGATCATCTTCTCTCCTCTCTAACCTCAGTTTCCATCCCTACATCTAATTCTACTGCCTCCCACTTGTAAGGATTACATTGGGCCTGCGGGGATAATCCAGTATCATTTTCCCATGGCAAGATCCTTAATTAAATCCTGCCTTCAAAGTCCATCTTACCATTTAAGATAAAATGTTCACAGGTTAAGCAGGTGGTGGTGCATCCCCACAGTCCCAGCTACTCGGGGGGCAGAGGCTGGAGGATTCACTTGAGCACAGATGTTCAAGGCCAGCCTGGGCAACAAAGTGAGACCCCTTCTCTTAAGAAAAATTATATATATCCACAGGTCCTGGGGATTAGGAATTGGACATCTATTGTAGAGGGGCTGTTATTTAGCCTGACACAGGCAGGGTGGGAAGTGGGCAGGAGGATGCACCCAGGCCCACAATGGAACCTCTGTGCTTTGTCCAGCCTTTCCTGGAGTGAGAGTTGGTGCCAAGGCAAAGGTGGCAGGTCCAGACCCCATGTTGAGAGAGGGGCAAGTGCCTCCTGAACCATTACCACCAGGGAGAGCCAAAGGTAAAGATCAGGCTTGAGAGAAAGTCTCAGTTTAGGAATCTTTTTAGACCTGAGACCTTCCTGGTAACCATGGTGGAGAATTCCTCAACACTGTCTCCTCTCCAGAACCATTCTGTGCTCCTATTCCCCAAGGGTGAAGATAATTATATTCCCAGTGAACTAACCTGGGTTCTCTCTGGAAAGGGCAGATTAGATAGTTTAGTCTTCTTTAAAAATTACTTTTAATTCTTTAATAGTTAAACCATGCATATTATAGCATAATGAATTCCATCATCAGGCTCCTTTCTTATTTTATTTAGAAGAAAATTAAAAAAAATTTTGGCTCCTACCAAACTCACTCTCACTCTCTCTCTCTCTCTCTCTCTCCATATATATATATATATATATATATATATATATATATATTTTTTTTTTTTTTAAGATGGGGTTTCACCATGATGGCCAGGCTGCTCTTGAACTCCTGACCTCAGGTGATCCACCCACCTTGGCCTCCCAAAGTGCTAGGATTACAGGCATGAGCCACTGTGCCCGGCCATATATATATATTTTTAAGAGACAGGATCTCACTGTCACCCAGTCTGGAGTACAGTGGGATAATCATAGCTCACTATATCCTTGACCTCCTGGGCTCAAGCAGTCCTCCCACCTCAGCCTTCTGAGTAGGACTACAGGAGCACAGGAGCATGTCTGGCTAATTTAAAAAAAATTTTTTTTAAGAGACAGAGTCTCACAATGTTGCCCAGCCTGGTCTTGAACTCCTGGCCTCGAGAAGTCCTCCTGCGTCAGCCTCCCATAGTGCTGGGATTACACAGGTGTGCGCCACCATGCCTGGCCTCTCTCTTTTCTTTTTTTTTTTTGAGTTTGGTAGGAGCCCATTGGCCTCTCTTTTTGATCCCTCATCCCTATTCTCATTCCTCTCCCTTGTCAGTATATGTTTGGATATGTATGTATCTTTGAAAATATATGTAATTATGTGCCTATGTGTTTTAATATACATAAATGGTATACTTTTATGGTAAGCCAACTTCTGTAATGAATTGCTCCCAAATTTCAGTTATTTAACACCACAGATTTATTTTTCACTTATTCTACATGGCACAGGTGTTTCTGGTTGGACAGGTCTCCTCCACTGTCCACTCCAACTCCCAGGCTTCTTTTATTTTCAGATGGTGATAGCCTCATCCCAGCATCATAAAGATGTCAACTTTTCACCAATTTGTTTTACTATCCAATGGTGATCATTTTATAAATTGCTTATTTCACTAGGGATTACAGAATGGTAATTTTCTAAGGCTACTAATTTTTCCTCATTTATTAGCTCTAATTCTATACAGAAAACCTTTTTCACATCCTCTGGGACCATTTGATTACTCTGAAATAAGGTTCATACCAGACTGGAAGGATAAATGCTTCAATCTCTGCCCTTACCATTTTCAAAGTAGTTATGTCCTGACAACTTCTAATGGTGTTTAATGACTTTTTTGTTTTACTCTCTCTTTCTAAATGATCGCAAACAACCTGTAGTTCTTTTACATTTAATATTGTTTAATCATTTGCCATTTATTTTTTGTGCTTTATATTACATAAAGTATCAAACATATACAAAAGTGGAGAAAATAGTGTAATTAATTCCCAGAATCCTACTACCCAGCTTCAATAATTATCAATTCACAGCCAATCTTGGTTTATTTATTCCCTCAACTACTTGCCCCAACCAAGATTATTTTGAAGCAACACCAGATATTTACCAATTTAATCTGTAAATGTTTTAGCATATATCTCTAAAAGATAAGGATTTTCATTACCATTATTGCACCTAAAAAGTTAATAAATTATCAGTATAATAAAATATAGTTGGTGTCTGATTTTCCCATAGACATAATTTTTGTTGTTGGTGGTGGTTTTTTTCTTTCTTTTTTTTGAGACGGAATCTCACTCTGTTGCCAGGCTGAATCGCAGTGGCGCGATCTCGACTCACTGTAACCTCCGACTTCCTGGTTCAAGCATTTCTCCTACCTCAGCCTCCCGAGTAGCTGGAATTACAGGAACACGCCACCACATGCAACTAATTTTTGTATTTTTGATAGAGACGAAGTTTCAGGATGGTCTCGATCTCCTGACCTCGTGATCCACCCACCTCAGCCTCCCATAGACTTTTTTTTTGGTCATTCTTAATTGGTCATTGTCAACAGACTTAACTTTTAAAAGTTTTGGAGCTGGGTGAGATGTCTCACACCTGTAATCCTAGAACTTTGGGAAGCGGAGATGGACAGATCACGACGTCAGGAGATCGAGATGGGATTTCACCTAGCCAACATGGTGAAATCCCTTCTATACTAAAAATACAAAATTTAGCTGGGCGCAGTGGCATGCACTTATAGTCCCAGCTACTCGGGAGGCTGAGGCAGGAGAACCGCTTGAACCCAGGAGGCGGAGGTTGCAGTGAACCAAGATCGTGCCACTGCACTCCAGCCTGGTGATGTTGAGACTCTGTCTCAAAAAAAAAAAAAAAAAGTTTTGGTAACAGAGTTATGCTGGCCTCCTGAAAAGAGTGAAGTACTGTTTTCTCCTCCTTTCCTTTATATTTGTGTAAGGTATAATGACAGAATTTACTTAGTAAATCTGGGCCTAGAGTTTTCTTTATGGGGACATTTTTTGTTTTTTTTGGAACAGGGTCTCACATTGATGCCCAAGCTGGGGTGCAGTGACACAAGCATGGCTCACTGCAGCCTTGACCTCCCCAGGTTCAGGTGATCCCCCCACCTCAGCCTCCTGAGTAGCTGGGACTACATTCGTGCCACCATGCCTGGCTAATTGTTATATTTTTTTGTAGAGCTGGGCTTTTGCCACATGGCCTGGGCTGTTATGGGGATGTTTTTGATAACAGATTCTTTTAGTAGATATAAGGTTATTCAGACTTTTACTTTGATTTTGAGTTACTTTTCGTAGGTTTGTTTTTTTTTTTTTTTTCCCAAAAGATGTGTCCATTTTATCTAAATTGTTGATGTTATTGGCATAAAATTAGAACATTTCTGGCCAAGTGCAATGGCTCATGACTGTAATCCCAGCACTTTGGGAGGCCGAGGTGAGTGGATCATTTGAGATCAGGAGTTCGAGACCAGCCTGGCAAACATGGCAAAACCCCATCTCTACTAAAAATTGAAAAAACATTATCTGGGCATGGTGGTGGGAGCCTGTAATCCCAGCTACTGGGGAGGCTGAGGCAAGAGAATCGCTGGAATCCGGGAGGCAGAGGTTGCAGTGAGCTGATATTGCACCACCACACTACAACCTGGGCAACAGAGTGAGACCCTGTGTCCCCCCCCAAAAAAATTACTCATAACATTTCCTTGTTAGTCTTTTTTTTTGAGACAGTCTCGCTCTGTCACCCAGGCTGGAGTATGGTTGTGTAATCTGGTCTCACTGCAACCTCCCCCTCCAGGTTCAAGTAATTCTCCTGTCTCAGCCTCTGGAATAGCTAGGATTACAGGCGAGCACCACCATGCCCAACTAATTTTTGTATTTTTAGTAGAGACAGGGTTTCACCATGTTGGCCAGGCTGATCCCGAACTCCTGATCTCAAGTGATACGCCCACCTTGGCCTCCCAAAGTGCTGGGATTGCAGGCATGAGCCACCATGCCTGGCCTGATTTGTCTTTAAGACTTTTAATTTTTTTTTTTTTTCAAACAAAGTCTCACTCTCTCGCCCAGGCTGGAGTGCAATGGCACAATCTTGGGTCACTGCAACCTCCACCTCCCATGTTCAAGTGATTCTTCTCAGCTTCCTGAGTAACTGGAATTACAGGCACCCACCATCATGCCCGGCATTTTTGGCCTTTTGTAGAGACGGGGTTCATTATGTTGTCCAGGCTGGTCTCAAACTCCTGACCTCAGGTGTTCTGCCTGCCTTGGACTCCCAAAATGCTGGGATTACAAGCATGAGCCACCGTGCCCAGCCAAGTCTCTTAATTTTTAAGGTTCTGCTTTCATCCTTTTCCTAATTTTTTTACACTTTTCATTCATTCATTCATAAACAGTCTTACTCTCATCCAGGCTGGAGTGCAGTGGTGTGATCTTCACCACTCACTGCAACCTCTGCCCTCTGGGCTCAAGCCATCCTGCCACCTCAGCCTCCCAAGTAACCGGGACTACAGGTGCATGCCACCCTGCCTGGCTAGTTTTTGTAGGGTTTTTTTTTGTTTTTTTTTTTTGAGACAGAGTCTCGATCTCTCACCCAGGCTTTCATCCAGGCTGGAGTGCAGTGGCATGATCTCAGCTCACTGCAACCTCTACCTCTGGGTTCAAATGATTCTCCTGCCTCAGCCTCCTGAGTAGCTGGGATTACAGGTGCATGCCATCATGCCCAGATAATTAATTTTTTTTTCTTTTTCTTTTTCTTTCTTTCTGTCTTTTTTTTTTTTTTGTATTTTTAGTAGGAAGGAATTTTGCCATGTTGGCCAGGCTGGTCTTGAACTCCTGACTTCTAGCAATCTGCCTGCCTTGGCCTCCCAAAGTGCTGGGATTATAGGTGTAAGCCATCGTGCCTGGCCTCTTAATTTCTTACAATTTGTTTGTTGAAGATTCTGGGCCATCTGACTTACAGAATTTACCGCAGTCTGGGTTTTGCTGATTACATGCTCGTGATGCAGTTCTAAATGTTCTATGTCTGTGTTTGGATCACCTTGAAAATAAATAAGTAAATAAATAAATAAAATAAAAATTAAAAAAGAATGTTCTATGTCCTCACTATGTCCTGGAAATTAGTAGCTGGATCCAGAGGCTGGATCAGATTCCGATTTGATAGCTTTGGCAAGACATTAGGAGGCATATGAATCAACTGGGTGTGGTAACTCATACCCGTAATAGCCCTTTGGGAAGCTGAGGTAGGTGAATCACCTGAACTCAGGAGTTCAAGACCAGCCTGCCAAACCTGGTGAAACCCTGTCTCAAATAAAAATACAAAAATTAGCCAGGTGTGGTAGTGGGTTCCTGTAATCCCAGCTACTGGGGAGGCTAAGGCATGAGAATCACTGAACCTGGGAGATGGAGGTTGCAGAGAGCCAAGATCACACCACTGAACTTTAGCCTGGGCAAAAGAGTGAGACTGCATCTCAAAAAAAAGCAGGCATATAAATCTAGTTGTCTCTATATTTGTGATTTTTTTTCAAGTGTTGCCTGTATTTATTAATTTGTTGGAGATTGCAAAATGGTGTCCTTAATTCTATAACTTTATTTTATTTATTTTGAGACAGTATCTTGCTCTGTCACGCAGGCTGGAGAGCCATGACATGATCCCGGCTCACTGCAGCCTCCGCCTCCAAGGCTCAGGCAATCCTACCTCAGCCTCCTGAATAGCAGGCGTGAGCCACCACACCCAGCTAATTTTTTTCTTCTTCTTTTGTAGAGATGGGGTTTTGCTGTATTGGCCAGGCTGGTCTTGAACTCCTGAGCTCAAAGGGATCTTCCTGCCTTGGCCTCACAAAGTGCTGGGATTACAGGTGTGAGCCACTGCGCCTAGCCCTAGTCTTCATTTCTACAATGATTTTTTTCTTTCATTTCCAGTTCTTTCCTCATTCCTTTCAGAATGAGTTCTGTCACCTCATTTCTGAGTTTTTCTAGTTCTGATTTATGTTCTTTCATGTATTATATCATTTTTGGCGTCCTTTAGCTTGTCTGTAGTTTGGATATGTTTTGTGGCACATCTTTTTGGTGTGCTTTCATTGTCTGTAGTCGTTATTCTTCTGGTTCTTTTATTTTTTAAGACAGGCTGGAGTGCAGTGGCATGATCACAGCTCACTGAAGTCTTGACCTCCTGGGTTCAAGTGATCTTCCCACCTCAGCCTCTTGAGTAGCTGGGACCACAGGCATGTGTCACCAAGCCCACCTAATTTTTTAAGTTTTTGGTGGAGCTAGGGTCTTACTGTATTGCCCAGGTTGGTCTTAAAATCCTGGTCTCAAGCGATCCTTCTGCCTTAGTGTCCCAAACTGCTGGAATGACAGACACGAGCCACCATGCCCAGCCTTGGTTCTTTTATAATGCGTATGAGATTTGACTTTGATATTTTTTCTTTTTTTATTTATTTATTTATTAAGATGGCAGTTTCACCATGATCGCCAGGCTGGTCTTGAACTCCTGACCTCAGGTGATCCACCCACCTTGGCCCCCCAAAGTGCTAGGATTACAGGCGTGAGCCACCTCGCCCAGCTGATACTTTTCTTTTCTTCTTCTTCTTTTTTTTTTTTTTTTGGCAGAGGCTTCTTCTATTGCCCAGGCTGGAGCACAGTGGTACGATCTCAGCTCACTGGAACCTCTGTCCCCTAGGGTCAAGCAATTCTTCTGCCTCAGCCTCCAGAGTAGCTGGGATTACAGCTGCCCACCACCACACCTGGCTAACTTTTGTATTTTTTTTTTTTTTTGAGATGGAGTCTTGCTCTATTGCCCAGGCTGGAGTGCAATGGCACAGTCTCGGCTCACTGCACACTCTTTCTCCCAGGTTCAAGTGATTCTCCTGCCTCAGCCTCCCAAGTAGGTGGGATTACAGGCGCCCACCACCACGCCTGGCTAATTTTTGTATTTTTAGTAGAGACAGGGTTTTACCATGTTGGC